ATTCTTATAAAATAGATATTATATTTCCTCATTTTACATATGAAACAGATTCAAAGGGGTTTGGTTGCTTCCCTATAGAGCTGGGATTGGAACTCAGTTAACTGGATATGTATTCTCAACCACTGAATTATGGATGTTACAGAACTGTGCCATCCAATAGAACTGTCTGCACTGTCCCAAAACAGTTCCCACTCGGCATACACAGCTGTTAAACTCTTGAAATATGGCTAGTGTGATTGAGAAACTGCATTTTTAGCTGTTTCATTTTAATTAAGTTGTGAAAACTGTATAACATGTATAAGTGATCACAGTAGTTTTTTAGAACAGAAATGAAATGTCCTGTGTTTTACTAGAAATCTTTTTTTAATTTTGAAAAATAATACATGTACATGGTTTTATGCAAATAGTTAAAACAAGGTTATAATAAAAAATAAGTCTTCCTCTAACCATACATTCTCAGTTCCTCCCCAAAAGCAACCGCTATTTCTACTTTCGTTTCTCTCTTCCAGAAATAGCCTATAGATATACAAATAGAAACATTCTTGTAAAAAAATATAAATAGGCATCTTTTAAACCAAATCACAATCTCATTATTTAAAAGATTGAAAGCAAAAGATTTTTAAATACTAATTCATTTGATTTCACTTCTAATTTTTTGTGGCATGCAGTGGACTATACATAAATATATTTCTGTTTTCTAGTGTGAGTCCTCATACTGTAAGAGATTTGAAATATAAATTCTCTCAAATTTAAAGTTCAAACTTTCTTTACTCTCATTTTATCCCTGTAATATTTTTACTAGCCAGTAAGTTAAGATCATGAATTCCAAATAGGTAACCATTTTTAAATTTAATATTGGCATGATGTGAAATTAGAATTTTAGTGTTTACCTTAGATGATAGATAGGTCAATGTTATTTACTTCTTGATTACCACTTAATCACTTTTTATTAATACGATCTTATTATATAAGGATATTTCTTATATAACATTTATTAAAGTTTTATTGTACTAGATTTGTAATTGTATAATATGATTCTCATTAAAAAAAATTGCTTTTTTTCCACTACAGAAAACTTGAGGATATTGTCTTTAGGAAGAAACAACATAAAGAACTTAAATGGACTGGTAGGTTGCTATTTATTACTTTGAAAAAAAGCATTCACTTTTTTCTTATTATACAAATAATACTTGTCCACTGCAGAAGCTTTACAAAATATAAAAGCTACTATAAAAATAATCTATAAACCCCTGACAATTTAAATATTGTTAACATTTTGATTGACATCTTTCTTGCCTTTTTTTCTGTTCTTCACTGGATATGTAAAGAATGAAATCATACTATTCAGATCGTTTTGCATCTCTCTTTTTTTTTAACTTAATATGTAAGATCATTTTTTTCCTGTCATTTATTCATTAAACAAATTCATTCAATAATATTTCCTGAATGCTTACTTTAATCTAGGCACTGTTCTAGGCACTAGAGATATAGCCGAATATAAAGCAAAGTCCTTGCTGTCATGGAACTTACAGTGGAGAGAGAGAGAGACTAGAAAATAATTGTGTAATACATCAGGTGGTGATGAATGTAATGAAGAAAAATGAGGCATGTTAAGAGATCATAGATTGATGGAAGTTCTCTCTGGAAGTGAGGAT